GTGAGGGATGCAGTGGTGGAGTTTTGGCAAGTTATATAAATGATCAACAAAGTTAATGAAGTCATAGATGCCACACGCATGCACACAGCACAAAGTCTTTAAGAAGGTCATCGAGCAGAAGCAGAGAACAGCAGTGATTATTAACTTGAGCAGCAGTAAAGCAATGAAAACAAGCAGTCTGAGGCAGGAAAGGCCCAGATTTTCTGTCTCCCTGCCTTATTTACTCTGTATGTCACTCACTCTGGCCCTTTTCTCACCCTCATCATCTGCAGAAGAATACAGTGTGAGCTCAGTCTGTGTCTGGTTGGCACTGCATCAATTATCATGACCAGACAAAACTGGTTCTCAGGCTGAGCAGGACGTACAAAACCCCCCCACAACAAAACACAACACAATGCAATTAATAAAGCCTGTATTTGCATGCAATATCACCCCTTGTTTCATGTGAATAAACTGTGTTTCTCTGCAGCTTGAAGACGGCTCGAAATAGCGCTGGTTAGGCCCACTTTCATATACAAAACTAAGCTGCACCACTCAGGAATCTACCAACAACACGCACCTGTACATAAACGTCAATGCTGCGTCACACAGGAAAACAACAACAGCAATCACAACACATAAAATCAAATGAAATACTCAATTTTTTAGACGACACGTCTAACGATGGGGAAGTGCTCGCTTTGTATTTATGCTGTGGGAAAGCATGACCATGCAGCTTTTGCAGAGTGAGAGCGACCCAGTTCGCGGGCAGCTGATGACTGCGCAGGAGGTAAACACAAATCTGCTGAGTGACTTTGCGGCAGATTTGCATCACATGTGCAAAGATGCCTCTTTGCAGACGTTGCAGACTGATTTTTACCACCAGTGTCCACACAACAAAATGACAGGTTCATGCATTTATAGCGTTGTTGTCCTATAATTTCTCCTGCAGTCCGTCCTGCGAAACAGCGCGGTTAGTAATAAGGCGCCAGCTGACCTGCAGCTTACCGGGATCCACGGAGTTTTGTTGAAGCTCTTCGGTTTTCCTCTTGCCTCTTTCTTTAAGCGAGAAGCTGCCGGGTCTAAAAGTGTCTGGTCTCTGTTCTGCAGTCTGTGTCTGACCTTGTTTACATACCAGACTGACAGTCGGCTGCTCGTGCAGTTTCGTTTTTTTCCGTGAGTGACGAAAGCGGCTCATTAATGGGCAGAGCTCGCGACCATCTTGGTAAGGTAACGGTATTTTATGCTGTCTTAAAGAGGCAAATCTGTAGTTTGGATTCAAGTTTTAAAAATGCGACTGTTTCACTTGTGTATTTACATTTTCTTCTATATGGCTTGCACTACAACAAATCAGAGGCCGATGTTCATTTCTGCCACTGGATTTATTTTACACGCATAGGTTCATTCAGCGCACACAGACTAACTAAATCTGATAAACCTGATATCATTTCTGCTATTAAGGGCACACCTGCAAGACTTGAAGCGCAGATATATCAGATTTAATCCTTGCATACTGGAAGTTCACTGTCATCTCAGCATCAGTTTAAACTGCTGCCTCTGATTAAACATGTATCACTGTAACATTTGATTTACTGTGTAACGGCTGTCTATTGTTAAAAAGGCACATTATATTGTCAAAAGTTTGCCTCGCCTGCCCTCACACGCAAATGAACTTGAGTGACATCCCGTTCCTAATCCATAAAGTTTAATATGGATTTACAGCCTCAACTCTTCTGGGAAGACTTTCCATAAGGTTTAGAAGTGTTTATGGGAATTTTTGAGCATTCTCCCAGAAGAACATTTGTGAGGTAAGATACTGATGTTGGACGAGAAGGGCCTGGCTCGCAGTCTCCACTCTAATTTCTCTCAAAGGTTTTCTCTCAGGTTGAGGTCAGGACTGCGCAGACCAGTTAAGTTCTTCCACACCAAATTCGCTCATCCATGTCTTTATGGATGTTACTTTGTGCACTGGTGTGCAGTCATGTTGGATCAGGTAGGGGGCATCCCCAAACTTTTCCTGCAAAGTTGGGAGCACAAAATTCCCAAAACTGTTTTGGTATGTTGAAGCATTCCTTTTAGTTCCAGAATTCATTTCACTGGAACTAAGGGCCTGAAGCCCAACTGCTGAAAAACAATCCCAGAACATAATCCCCAAAAATTTATTTAACCCTTATTTATACAGGTTGTCCCATTGAAACTCAATGTCTCATTTACAAGGCAGATCTGTTCCGGACAAACATTAAAATTACAACAATACAAGAAATAATAAAATAGCTAAATTTGTCTAATTCACACAGTCATATCAAATACAACAACAAGTTCCCCGTGATGATTTCACAAAAACATTTGCATGTCTTTTGAAGTCTGAAAGTGAAATCAGTTGATTGATTGATACTTTACATTTAGTACAATGCAGCCGGACAAATAGTGTTGTCCTTTCAAACCTAGACTTGTCCATCAGAATGCCAAATGGGGAAGCGTGATTCGTCACTCCAGAGAACACACCTCCACCGCTCTAGAGTCCAGTGACGGCATGCTTTACACCACTGCATCTGACACTTTGCATTGTGTTTGGTAATGTAAGGCTTCGTTGCAGCTGCTCAGCCATGGAAACCCATTCCATGAAGCTCTCTACACACCGATCTTGAGTTAACCTGAAGGCCACGTGAAGTTTGGATGTCTGTGACTGACTCTGTAGAAAGTTGGCGACCTCAACGTACTATGATCCTCAGCATCTGCTGACCCCGCTCTGTGGTTTAACATGGGCTACCACTCTGTGACTGAGTTGCTGTCGTTCCCAGTTGTTTCCACTTTGGTATAATATCACTAACAGCTGACTGTGGAATATTTAATAGTGAGAAAATTTCACGAGTGGATTTGTTCCACAGGTGACATCCAATGACCGTACACCTCTAAAGCTCACTGAGCTCCTGAAAGCGATCTATCCTTTAATAAATGTTTGTAGAAGCAGTCTGCATGTCTGGATGCTTGATTTTATACACCTGTGGCCACAGAAGTGATTGGAACACCTGAATTCAATGATTTGGATGGGTGACTGAATACCTTCGTCAATATAGTGAATGTAAGGTATGGAATACCTCAAGCTAGATATTTTGTGTAATTTTCAGTCTTTATTAAGACCTTCCATTTGTGTTAACAATGGCTCGGATTGCTGTGTTTCCTGATGACTAAACAATGCAGCTGAACCATCGATTGATAAATGAAATGCTAAATAAGTAGTTGAAGGTTGTAAAAGGTTAATAAACAGGTGTTAGATGTTACTAAGTAACAAATGCATAGACTGAGTGTTAATAGTACTCCAGGCGAAGTGCAGGAGATATTGCAAGTAAACTGCTAAAGGTTTCTCAGTGGTCAGAAGAGCTTCAGACTTGATGCTTTGGTTGCATTAGTTCTGCTTCAGCTTTATTATTCTTGTGTGAGCCCCTTCAGCAATAGAAATAAAACCTTGCAGGTAGCTCAAAATAAAGCTGCCGGTTCTTTATTGCAGTGCTTTTACAGAACTAATGTCAATGAGATGTAAATTAAATATCCTAGAGACAAGATTACTGCATGTATTATATAGAATGAAACACAGTTGAGTCGACATAATCATTGAACACGATCTGCAGCAGAAAGGAGTTTTATATTGCCAAAGGTGAAAACAAGTGATATGAAGAAAACAGTAATTCACTGATATAGTGGAAATCAGTAGCGGTTCATATTGTACATGAGAGTACTGAAGCTCTCCATGGTAAATGGTAAATGGGTGGGCTCTTTTATAGAAAAATGTGAAGGTTGTTACTTTCCGTGCCCTCTTCATATATCAATTTATTATATTAGTCACCTAAAAAAATTCAGGGGCATTTATTTCAGGGTAATACTCCGAAACACTTCAACATGTCACTTTTATTTAAGCTACACTGAGGGAAATAATTATTTGACTTTATTTGAATCTGTAAGTTTGCTCATTTACAAAGAAATGAACAGCCTCTGATTTTTCTGGCAGTTTTATTTTAATGGAGACAGAATATCAACCAGAAATCTATAAAAAAGCACATTACATAAAAGTAATAGATTGATTTTCATGTCACTGAGTGAAATAAGAATTTGATTCCCAAGCAAAACATGATCTAGTATTGGTGGATAAATCGTTGTGGGCAAACACAGCGGTAAGACGTTTCTTGTAGTTGGTCACCAGGTTTGGAAAAATGGTGTTTTCGGGGTCACACTCAGGATTCCTCTCCCACCAAACGTATTGGGTCAGGTTGATGCCAAAGAGGTCGATTTTCTGACCACAGCACTTTCTCCCAAGCCTTCTCTGAATTATTTAGATGTTCACTAGTAAAGTTAAGACGGGCCTGTATACGTGTCTTGTTGAGCAGGTAGACCTTGTGGCACAGCAAGATTTCAGTTTAATAAAGCGTAGTGTTTTACTAGTGGTGTACTTTGGTCCAACTGCCTTCAGATCATTAATAAGCTCCACCTGTTTACTTTTTGGGCTGATCACTATTGAGGCACGATCTTGCATAGAGCCTGAATTCATTTTATATTTCTTCCATTTCTGAATAATGACACCAACAGTTGTCACCTTCTCACCGAGCTTCATAGAGTATCAAATCCTTATTGAAGTCAATGACAAAAAGTCAGTTTATAACTTTTATGTAATTTTTTTTCAGGATTTTCCACTCTGTGAAACTACAATAAAAACAAGAGACTGGTCATTATTTTTCCATAATGGGAATGTTTGCCCATCCCCATCCCTCATAGGAAGTTGTTTTTGAATATTAGGACCTAAAAACTGAAAATATTCCAGTTTTTTATTGAACTCCAGAATTCAATAAAATTCATGGAAATTAGTTTGGGAAATACTAATTAGACAACAGTCTCTCATGAACTTTTCCTGATCCTGCCTCACTGTGAGTGGTTTGGATGTGGTCCACATACATAAACTGCGGCTGTGTAATGAAAAACATTCACGAACAAAGCAATAAAAGTATTTATTACATTTGTTTCCACAGAGAAATAACAAGATGTCAGTTATCTTTCTTCAATAAATACAGTACGAGACATATGCAGGGCAAACATACGACACGTGCACATGGAAAGTAAGAGAAAATAACGCACAGAACATTAAGACATAAGATCTGGTGTGTAAATAGAAAAAATCAAAAGATGGGGTAAAGACAAAGGTTTTGTAATGAATGTCTAGTTTCAATTCCATGAAAGGCACTCTCATTAGCACCTTTTTTATTCTCCCCCTTGCAGCCCTCAAGCTAGAGCAGCGTTGCATCGCCTCAGCGGGGTAAAGAAGCCCGCTTTGCGGCAGCTACTAAACAAACTCTTTAAAAACCACACAATGAGGTTTCCAGTTCGGGGACATCAGAATAAATGAGAAGAGCTAACTGTGAAAACATAAGTCCATTAACAGAATTTAATACACGTCACTGTAACCAACAAAGTAAATAGTCGTTCCCTTTTTTTGGTATATTTCAGTTCTGTAGTCCAGAGATCTCCTCTTCCCTGCCCTGTTCGAGATGTGCCAGCCACCTTAGTTTTATGAGTATTCAGTGTTTCTGTTTTCAAACTCACGGGCACGTTAGAGCACAGTAAATGTCACAAAGTATTTTTAACATTCAAACGTGTCCTTCCCTGCAGGGTGTGCGGCTCCTTGTATGGTTGCCTTCCAGCTCATGATCAACATTAGCTCTGTCAGTTTTGAGGTATCAGAATCATCTTGTACACAAGTGTTAAGGATCCAGTCGATTTAGTAACTGCATCTGCGTTACGTTAAATATCGCAGTTCTGCTTCACATTCACCAGAAAGCTTGATGGCTTGATCGGCGTCACACGGGTAGGACGGTGTTGTTGGCGGCCTCAAAGTTAACTGGAAGCGCTGTGTTAGTCTGAACGACGGCTCTAGTGTTGGTGTAGAAACTCTGAGCAGAGGGGATGTCCAGGCTGGATGAGAGGATGTCGTACGGCAGCTCCAACGACTGACGGATGCTCTCTTCATATGTTGGAGGAGGCTGTAGGAGAAAAAAAAGATAGAAGAGATTTTACACTAAATATTACACGAACATCTATGAGCTGAACTGTCACACTGTAAGGTCGGTCAGAATAGCTAATTGTTTAAAATTAGCAAGCAACTGAAGGGTCTGTGGAGTGTTCAGATCCACAGGTTAACTGCTCTGATTCAGATAAAGTTAGCAGCCAGCAGGTGGACCAAGATAAGCACTTCACAGAACTTAATGGAAAAATAAACTTAATCAGCTGGTCAGACTCAAAATGCTAATGTAACATCATCTCTGCAGAGTGAATAAATAGGCTCCTGACATCTATTCATTATTTCTGCTTATCCAATTCAGGGTTGCGGGATGTGTGGGGTGGAGCTGGAGCCTATTTTAGCTGTGATTGGACAGATCATGAGTCTGTCATAGGGCTAATGGGGAATGACAGTTCAATGGTGACAGCATATTGCAGGGGTGTTGAACTCCAGATCTCGAGGGCCGGTGTCCTGCAAGTTTTAGATATCACCCTCGGTCAACAAGCCTGAATCAAATGATTAGTTCATTACCAGGCTTCTGGAGAACTTCAAGACATGTTGAAGAAGTAATTTAGCAATTTAAATCAGCTGTGGATCAAGGACACATCTAAAACCTGCAGGACACCGGCACTTGAGGCCTGGAGTTTGACACCTGTGGCATATTGGGAGTCGTTGGGCAGCTTAGGGCAGCTCAGACTGCCCAACTACCTGCAGTCAGATGGCAGCAATGTCAGAAACATGTGGTACAACTAATCTGTGCCCTACTCTAGATTGTGCTGTCGTTGGTGTTCCACCGTGTTCTAGATACCTTCCAACTCAGATATCGGAACAAAAGCAAGTAAAAACAGGATTTGTTAGCTAATAAGAGCAACTCTTGTATCACTGGCAATACAGCATAATACTTTGTTTGTTTGTTTTTTATTCTGACTTTCCAAGTAAGAAATCCAAGCTGAAGGAACATTCTAGATTCAAATTCTCACTGGGAATTATTCAGGACTTCAGGACTTCAGGAATTCATAATTTTGCTTCGTCTTGATGCATGTTCAATCATCCAGGTAAGTAAATCTCCAAAAGTTGATTCTGTTCATCTGGACGTAGCGTTTTGTGGGAGAAAGGTTTCGTCACTCATCCAAGTGACTTCTTCAGTCTCGGCTGACTGCAGGTTTCCCCATATAAAGCTATAAATAAGATTTCCCCAAATCTTATAAACAGTACATTTGCATAATGGCTGAAAACCAGCCCATTGTTCCTTCACTGGGCTGGTTTCACACCATTATAACACACAGGGAGCTGAAATGGCCACTTTTGGTACTTTTCTTTCTGTATTTTTTTGATTGCACTTCTCTCACTCCTGGTTAACTGCTGTCACTCCTTCTCTATTCTGGCCCACTTGTCAACCACATAGTTGATAGTTTGAACGACTGCTCAGAGAAAAGTTTGCAGTGGTTGAAAACCCTGCTTTGTCAGCTTTCTGTAGGCAAATACTTTCACAAACAAATACAACTGGAGTAGCATGAATTAAATACAACGCAGAGAGACTGACCACCATTTGCACTCACATTCACATCTATGTCCTAATAACCAGTTAACCTAATTTGCATGTCTTTGGACTGTGGATGGGGAAGCTGGAAAACCCAGAAGAAACCCACATGGGCACAGGGAGAACATGCAAACTCCATGGTCATTATAATATAGCATTAATCAAATGGTAATATTATGTTTACAGATGCTATCTTAATACAGATTTAAGGAAAGACATGGAATATCATTCAGTAATGAGATGCACATGTATACATGTTACTGTCATACTGCTGCCTTTGTATGCAGTGATGAGACTTCTGAAGACTTTTGGGAAACATTTCCTAAGTTGCCAAAGGGCACTGTTCTCCATAGCTGTCTGAGAGCGCACAGTAATGCCACCGAGGTTGCAGACCACAAAATTCTTCAGGAAAATTAAAAGTCCTCGAACAATCCGGGAGGACTGAGTTAATATGAGAGCATCCACAGGCCTGAAAGAACTGAAATCTGACCCTGTGGTGAAGCAGAATGTGTTTGTATTTACATTACCAATTAATCCATCTACATCCTGGCTGTCTGGAACATATTCTTTTTTTTTAAAAAAAAAAATTATCTTTCTCATCACATCTAGCAGATTCACGCTCCCTGACTGAGTCCTCTTATCTTTTAATTGCTTGGGGACCCTCAGGCGACAAGTGCAACCCCACAACCCTGCCCTCCGTTTGATACCCGCACCACACGCGCACGCATACCAGGCTGCAAAGTTTTACTGCCGTCCTGCCTCGGGCCACGCAGGGCAGGCGGGGAAATAAAGGGGTCCATCATCTGAACTCTTGCAAGATAGAGTTCAGATTGTGTAGAGGAATGTTTGTCAGTGACTAGTGATGGGATGACAGAAGAGTATTGTGTGTGAATGTGCTTTGGTGATGAGCAGTCATGCTAGGGGGGTGTTTAATTAAAGAAACGGAGAGAGGAGGTCAAAGTAGAAAAAAACGGTGGAAGATGGGAGCACAAAGCTGCATTCTGGGGCACTGTTTGCACTCAGAACACAGGCTTTAATTATGTTTGATGTGCCTTTTTCTCATTACCTTGTTTGCTCAAGCGTTGTGCGAACTAGAAGCTAAGCGAAAGATCAACACGGTAAAACCTCGAAACACAACTGCCAGCACAATTCGGCAGCAGGCATTAGATGAGCTGATACTGCATCCTGTTTACTGCGCTCTGAATGCAGTCTAAGGTCTTGTTACAACATTGTGTGCCAACATCTTTCTATTAACAATAGTAAAGAGAGTCTCATTCTGTTATCTCCACCCACTGTGTCAATAGAAATGATGGCTTTCAAAAAAAAGCCGACTTTTTTTGGAGCTTTAATGTCCTCCCACAATCCCATGCTTAACAAAACCACCTGAAGGGCTACATTTCCAAAGGCTTTACAACAATACCAAACTGTGTAATGCAGTCTTAGTCTCTAGTGTACCCCACCTCAGTCACAATGGGTCCATTGAGACCAAACCGGTCTGCGATCATCATGTGGATCTGCCTCTGGCGGTCCTTCTTTCGGACGCTCTCATAGGAGGGGAGCCTCGGCAGGGGGCCTTCCAGCACAGGCAGGCTGTAGCTGGAGGGCAGGCCGACGTAGAACAGCTGACCTGCCTGCTGAGACATAAACAGACCACAGTGGGACAAGAAGCAGGTGTCTTTAAATAAGTGTTTGAGCCCTGCTAAATTTATAGATTTGCTCACTTAAAAAGAAATGAAAGAAAAGAAATTAAATGAAATAGATTTTTATGGTAGGTTCATTTTAATGGAGAAAGACAGAATACCAACCAAAAATCCAGACAAAAAAACCCAAACACATGACATAAAAGACATAAACTGATTTGCATGAGTGAAATAGGCATTTGAACCAGCCAGAATTCTGTGTGGCCATGTGACATACAAATTACAATCAGTCAGTCAGTTACAGACACTCATCATCTCAGCTCTTTACGTGTATAAAGCAAACCTGTCCACAGAATCACTTTCTACCATTCTAACCTCTCCAACACCACAGACATGACCAAAACGTTGTCAGAGGACATTAGGAGGAGCCACAACACTGTCAGCAAGAAGAAAAAATTATAAAATGACTAACAATTACCCTCATTCTCATGAGAATCATGATGGATCATCCCAAAACTATACCGGAGGATTCTCTAACTGATCTGAAGGCAGTTGGGACCACAGTCACCAAGAGCACCATTGGTAACACACTACACTAGTGGATTGAAATCTTGCTGCACCCACACGGATCCCCTGCACAAGAAGACACATGTACAGGCCCGTCCTAAGACACCAGTAGGTTAAATAATTCAGAGAAGGCTGTGGTCAAATGACACCAAAAGCTCTTTGCCATCAACTTGACCTGCCATGTTTGGAGGAAGACAAATGCTGAGTATGACCCAGAAAACACCATCCCCAGAGTTAAGCGAGGAGGTGGGAACATTATGCTTTGGGGCTGTTTTTCTGCTAAGGGTGCAGGATGGCTTCAGCACATTGAGAGGACAATGGATGCAAAATCTTAGACGAGAACCCAAGGGATGAGTTTAAAGAGCTTCTGTAAAGAGGAGTGGGCAAAAACCAACTACAAAAAACGTTTTGCTGCTGTGCTTTTGCCAACAAGGGTTATTCGACCAAGTACTACGTCATGTTTTGCTTGTGGATCAAATATTTATCTCACTCAGTGAAATGCAAATCAGTTTATTATTTTTATATAATGTGTTAATTTCTGATGGATATTCTGTATATAATATATGTACATTATATATATTATAATATACAATGTTATATATATTATAATCAGAGACTGCTCATTTCTTTGTAAGTGTGAAAACTAACAAATTCAGCAGGTATCAAATAATTATTTCCCCCATCATATACCCCATCCCAGATACCCACGTTAAAGGATAAATCTCATCAGAAACATTCACTTCAGAGACGAGGACTTTCCGGCCTATGTGTATTATAGAGCGTGTGCATGTGAATGAAGGCCCTGCCTTAACCATTAGCATACACAGAGGGGAAGAGTGCTGCTTTGTTTGGCTTAATAGCAGATGATGGGCTCTCTCACCTGAGTGCTGCTGTCATCAGTGATCTGTGTCTGCTCGAGAAAAGGAGATGGCACCAGCGTCTGCCTGCTGCTGTAGTACTGAGAGGGAGCACCCTGTAAAACAAACAGTAATCAATTCAAAAAGTTGCGGGACAGGAAAAAAAAACCCTTAGTTATTAATTAAACACAGGACTGGAATTTCACCTTTAGAGTTTAACTAGGTGAAGCATTTTTCTGGTTCTTGTTGCTGAGAACCACTAACTTCAGCCCAATTGACCAATTTTCATGCCTTGTTTAGTCACTTTGGTGCACCGGCTGGTTCAGCAGTACCATAAATTATCTAATCAATAAGACGACCACCCTCAGATTTCCGTGCCTCCTCCTCCTCCTATAAAACAAGACCCGTCAGTGTCTCACTGTATGAGGTGCAGAAATCCTGAAAAAAGGCCGCTAGTAAAACGAGGTAATTGCCTCGCGTCTAAATGAGTCTCCTTTGTGTGGAGAACAATGTGATGTCCTACTGTGTCATCAAGGTCCCTAGGCAACAAACCACACCGTGTGGTCTTTTCAGCGTCCCTCTATTCCCCGTGTAGCTCCGGCGGGTACCTGTTAAGGCGCACACTCCAATACACATTATGGCCTTTTTATGTCATTTGAGCCGCCTTTACCACAAAGTCAATTTGTTGCCTGACTGAGATTTAGATCCAGCATGAGGACAAGAGATATGCGCTAAACAGCAGTTGCTGCGAATACTATAGAGATTCTTCTCACACAGAAGCAACAAAGGCGGCTCAGATTGCACTAACACGGGGTCACATCAACATATCATCAGTTTATCAGATTTATTATTTTCCCAGGCCTTTTTAAACTATGACATCACTCACCATCAGAGTGACGCGATCTGTCGACCTTTGCCATAACCCTCATTACGTTTCACAGACACACAGAGATGGCACCAAAAAAAGGTGATGTCAAAGGTCATTTTCCCCTCACTGGTTTGTACTTTTGAGAGGGAGGATAAAAAAAAAGAAAGAAACGTCACCACGTCGAAGAGAAAAGGGAAAAAAAAAGGAGAGGAGCTTTTGTCGCCTGCCATTGAATCAGCCAGCGTGAAGAAAAAAGCACAACCGTGTAAAATCAGTGTCGAAGTCGGGGGAGGACCCCAGCAGCAGTGTGCTTTTTTTCTCCTCCGCCGCAGCCTAAAGGAGCCCCCATTGTCCCCTCTTGTCTCCCCCCCACCTCCAACACCCACCGTGGGGTCGGTCCACTATTCATGGAGCAAACTGAAGCAGGGAAAGGTATGTGACTATGAAGTCGAAGACATGAAACACAATGAAAGAGCGCCTGTGTGTGTATGTTTCTCAATCTTCACTTTCTCTCACTTGTGGTCAAAAGAGTGAAAGCCTCTTTTTCACCACAAGTAATCGCAGGAATTGTAACGACACTCATCACTCTCTAATCTGTCACGTGCAGTTCACTGTACGTGACCTGAGGGTAAATAGAAACCATCATGTGCTTCTCTTATCAGCAACACGGTACAGCTGTAAGCAGAGGTCAGCATGGCCACTTTGTACAAGTGAAACAGTCTGTTAGTTCCTTAAACTCAGGCACAACAGAGCCTCTCCATTAAAGGCACAGCTGAACAGACAGCTTCCTGTCAGTTGAAGGAGGGAGGCATGAGTTGTGTCTCTGCAATCTAAAGATAACACTCAAACCTCACCCCCGGGGACTAATGGAGGGGAGAGACGGGTCAGGAAAAGGAAACAGACGACTAATAAACAGTATAATTCTTTGGGAGTATTTGCATTTCCTCTTTAGTTTATCCTGCACCAGCGCCTGCAGCACTGAGGATAGTCAAGTGTTTCTCTTTAGTGAGCAAACAGTTATGTTATTTTGTAGGTGTGATTTTTAACAAAATGTTACACACAAGCTAAAAAAGATCCAAGGACTTGGGTTGGTTTGCTTCACCCTGCCAATGCCGGGACAGAAAAAAAAAAATTTGATTTGCAGTGATTTAATTAGGCCACTATGGTGCTGAAGTAGCATCAGTGCTAATTCTGTCCAATTCTATTGGAGAGATAGTGCAGCACTCAAGAGATATTTCTGGCAGCGCGCTATTTCCACCGGAGCAAATTCACTGACTGACACTGATCATATCAAGTTTATTGTAGGCCATGTTTGTGCCGCTATGCAAATTCAATCTGACACCCCTTAATGTCTGCGTGCCGGCCTGTCTTTGAGTGTAATCTCAACAGTTTGTGCTGAGAAACTGAACATACAGATCACCTTACAAAGAAAAACCCCACAAAACTCAGCATCAGGGCGTTTTTTTTGTCCTCCCCTCACCCTCACCCCCACCCACACACACATACACTCTCTGCCATGTGGTTTGTTTTTCTTTACCATATCTGCATGTGGCCCCTGATAGGAAAACAGTCTGCAGCACTGAGGATCCTTGCGGTAGATGATGGACAGCAGCACCACGATAACCACGAAGAACACCAGAGAGGAAACTGCTTGAAGCCGGAGAGAATGAGAAGTCACTTAATCACACTGAGTCAGACACTGCGTTTTTTTTTTCACTCACTTTGCACATTTGAAGCCTGTGATGAGTTGTTGTTTTTTAATAAAAATGTGCTTATTTGCTGTTTTTAAATGTCAGTCCATCTCTACAGTCAAAGTTTCTCCAGTGTGTTTAAAATGACAAACCCAAGTCTCTAAGCTTGTTTTAATGGTTTCGAGCTTGGGAAACATAAGAGCCAAAGCTGAGACATTAAAAGCCTGTATATATATATATATATAGCTATCTGCATGTGTGGCTAGATTAAATCCAAATGCTGTATCCAAATGTCTCCCTCTAAAGAAACGATTTTTACTCGAATTACACGCTTAAAGCTGTACTTACAGGACGCAGCGACCACTGTGAGTTGATCAGATGTCAGCTGGAAGGAGGGGATGGTTGGAGTTGCAGTTGTGGACATTTCTCCTTCGTGAACTGTTAATCTTCCCTTTACAAATCCTCCTGAACTCTTCGGCCTCAGCGCCGGGGCTCTCATCTTACAGATCAGAAAAGGAATCTGTCCTCCTGTCGCTCCTCTTCATCGTGCGCTCAGTCCCGGACAGGCTGGCAGTCCACATGCGCTCTGCAAAGTGGGGATCTCAAACTCTCTCCACTCGGTCAAACACGCCACACAGCGTTTAAGAGCCCGTGACGGCGCACTGACGCCCTCCCCGAAGCGCGCGTGACGTCGCTGTGGCTTGGAGCCGGACAGCAGCATTGGTTTCGTTTATGGACTGACTGACACTGACTGGAAGCAGCAGCAGCGCACGGGCATACAGACTCATTACTTAGGCTAATGGGCATTTTTAAGCTGGACCCCTCTCTATGTGCGGAGGACACCAGGCCACGGACACGGAAAACAGCAGCGTCTGTGCTGCTGAATAAATATTACAGCAGGTTGCTATTGCTGCTTCCTCCACTGTTTAACTAATCCAGACCAGTAAGTTAGTTAACACCCCGGATTCCTGAGCTGGAGTCCCGTTACCCTGGCAACCGTGGGGGTCCCATCCTTAGAGGCTTTCTACACAAACAAAGACCCAAAATGTAGCATTAGTATTCATAGATGGAAACTATGAAAACATGCGCCCCCGCCCTTTTTCTCCTTTTTACTAGATAAACTTCATAAAGTATGTCACCCCAGATACTTTCATTATTTTATATCTTAAAGGTGGAGAGAGGCACTGACATCCTGTAGACAGGATAAAACAGATCTCTTAATATGCACTTCACATATCTGGCTGTGGCCCAAGCTTGCTGAATTGAATCAGTATATTATACTTTGCCCTCGAGACAGCAAGGAGAAATTAGTTTTGCATACTGGCCATCCTTACAGGGAGAGGGAAGTAACTAAAACTTGGAAAAGCCAAACTCCAGCAAGCTTTTTAAGTAATAAGTATTCATTCGAGTCAGCGTATTTTACACAGTAATAAATACATAAATAACAAATCCGTAAACATACAGTTTAGTGTATCATTTTATAATGAAGTAATTTTCTGAATTCGTTTTCTTAACTGATATTTTGTGGCATTTTGTTGTTGTTGTTTGTTTGTTGTTGTTGTTGTTGTTGTTGTTGTTTTTTGGGGGGGGGATATGCCACGTATTGAATTTTACTATTTATGTAAATGCATATGAATGGGTGTTGATAGGCAGGCCTAATCAGTACAGAAAGTTTAAAAAAAAATGCCTAATTCAAGTAAAATCCATGACGCTGAAGGTGATCTGATGGCTTTGTTGTGCTGCGGGTCTCCTCGCCACCTTGAAGGGAAGGGTGACTGCAAATCAATACACAGCTTTTCTGCGTAATTACCTTTGTTCTATGATGAAACACTGCTATCCTTAAGGGAGCGGTCTCTCTTTCAGGAGAACAATGCCCCCATCCTGACTGACTTGGCTTACTTTTACTTATAAAAGTAAAGTAAAATGTTGTTTATATCACACTTTCAAGAAAATATCACCGTGCACCTCATCAGATTTGCCAGATTTCATTAAATTTTACAACGCACTTATGTAACAAAGTTAAAAAAAAAAAAAAAATTTAAAAAAAAGGGGGGGGGGTGTCATATGAGCTCTGGGACCTGTTGGGGATGTAAATGTCTGACTTATGGTTTTGCAGTAACTCAACCCAAATGAACACCTATGGTGGATTCATTTCTGAGTCAAAGCACCGAATGAGGGAACATGTTTTGGGGAAAACTGGGCTCCAGTGTAAAGGCTGACCTCCTGAAACTTGAATCTCAATGCTAACTGAAGATGCTATGAAGGGTAGTGTATGTTAGATTTTCCTTTAATATGTCACCTGTCAGTGTCATGTTATGTCTGTACCTGGAAGTTGAAGGAAAATATAATGCCTATTTTTATTTATTCTTTTATTTTGTTTCTGATGTTGAAGAAATAAAAAAAAAAAAATAGAAAATGAATTTAAAAAAAAGAACGTTTACTTATTTATTTTTATTTCAGGCCATTGGAAATATAAAAACTAATGTGAGTGAACGCTATAAAATACAGTCAAATAAATAAATAATAATTATTATTATAAGCAGTTCTAATCGTCTTTATAACTTTTTCCAGCAAACCGGGATGTTGAGCGACCCCGCGTGGGCGCGCCGCTCAGAATGAGCCCTGCACGCGCTCCCAGTCAACCGGAGTCGGAAAAATGGTGGCCAGCGTTCGAGTGCAGAAGCTGCTCCGACGATATAAACTAGCAATTGCCGCCGCATTAACTATCCTCCTGATTCAAGGGCTTGTGGTATGGAGTCTGAGAAGTCTGGAAGAAGGCGAGGCAGAGGTGAGGAACCGATCCTCCGGGTGTATTTGGCGTGACAGCTATTCGCTTTGGTTTAATTGTAGAGCTAGCCGTTAGCACTTAGCCCCCTGTGAGTTATAGCTGATGTTAGCTGTTAGCAGTTGGGGAAGAGCGCTGCTCCCAAACATTTCAGCACAACGGACCAGCCCTGTCCAGCCCTCCTACTTACCTACCTGCCTGCGTGTCTGTCTGTTCCTCAGTCTCTCATTGACCACACTACCTGGTGAGAAAGTATTCGTTGCTAGACTGTCACAGCCATGAAACCAAAGGAGTAGTTAAGTGGTAGTTAACTTGTTTAAGGAACAGCGGTGAGCTTGGGTACCACCGCTCATGTTTATTTCTTTTGGAAACCATGGCGTTGTTAAAATGTGATGAAAAACAGACGGAGGGGAATATCTAAGACGAATAGTATGCTATGAAGTAATGTAAGTTTGAGGGAGCATGAGAACAGACTGGTGATTCATTGATCCCAAACACTTCATCAGTGTGAGCAGGACCGCCTTCATGTAGTAGTTCCAGGATGACTTGGATCTCTTTTGTTTTATGTTTCCTACTTATTTATATCAACCTGTGGATTGTGATGTGCTTGTGGCTGTTCTGTGACTTTCAATTAGCATTGAGTCATACCAAAACATACAGGGGAGTATATATGCAAGAGAAAAGTTCAGCAGAGAGCTGCCTCTCCTACATACCACTGAAACCGTTTCTTCGACAGTAGCCAAGTCTTGTGTGGGAATTTTCTCCCTGCGTCTCCCTGGCACACCTGGAGAGCGCTACCTTGAGGCAGTTTCTGTTCCAGTTCTCCCTCTAAGTCAGGTAACCTGAGCTGTTAACATAGATAGGGGAACCATGCGTGTACAGGACTCATTTTTTGAGGCACACCAGTGATGATGGAGCCACAGGAATGCACACTGAAAACTGAGGTGGGAGCCCTGCCAGCTCACCATTGTGATGTATCAAGCAATGGGGTTGTGTAATATTTTTTCCAATATGGATAGATTGAAGTTCTGTGCCTGGCAAGGTTTAAGGCAGGCAACAGATGTAACAGTGGCCGAGCGGGAGGGGAGGGAAAGATGTTTGGCTGTTCCTTCAGAGAAAGGGGAAAAGATGGGTCATTACTCTGTGGACAGTAGCCTCTGTTTGCCAAGGAAATGATTTGCTGCTGACCACTTCAGTTTAAACCATGAGCTAATCGGTTAGATGGTGATGCTAGACTAAATAAATAAATCATTTCCTTTAAATGCAGCAAGTGAGTCAACTTTTCTTGCTGAAGTGATTTTGAGAGAGGCTCCGGCTTTCATCACCTGTTTCTGTTTGCTGTTTCATCAGTTGTATTCATGCTTAAACATGCCTCAGCAAAGATAAGAGAAATGTCTGCAGGGCTGTGGTTTCTGTGTTTAAATGCAGCTCTTCTGTGTTTCTAAATGAGCAGAAGTGCACACTACTTTATAGAAGCTCAACTGCACCTCGGGGTTGCTGTTGAGTGTCTCAGGTGAAAGCATAATGGTCCTAAAGTTAAAAGGTGTGCAGGTGGATGGGAAAAGAGCTGCACTGGTTGTTTGCTTCACTGTTAATCAGATTTATTTATTGACTGTTTTTAATCTTTGGGGCCTGAAATTGTGGCACTACCACTCAGCACAAATGTCAGCTCTATATGCAGCTATGTTGGCAGACATCTATGCAAATGTCAGCATTTGGTCTCTGCATGTTTGCACTCTCGCAGATGCAGAATCATATTTCTGACTTGAGCGTGCACATTAATCATCACTTCACCTCTGAACGGTCTCCCTGTGCTCAGCGATCTCTGCCTTATCTTGCATCTGCTCTAATCAGCGTCTGGCAGTGCATGTGTGAACACGGTCACATGCGTTATATTAAATCCCTTGGGCAGAAGAGCGAAAGGATTGCGAGGACAGAAGAAGACATGACGCTTGTCATCCTCGTATCACCCTCTGCACGCCCGGGTTCTCCTGCAGAGCCGAGTGCTCGCTGCTGCTGCTGCAGCTTCACGCTTCAGCAGATGGCAACGCTGATATGGTTTCACTCGACTTTAATTGGAAAGTAAAGAGGCTGCCTGGCTTGCCTTTGAATCAATACATTTTTTTTGACATGATGGCGTTAATTAAAAGCTGTGAACACAAGTGATAAGGAAAATTGAAATGATAGCCCGTGCTGCGTGCTTGGCTTTCTGCACAAAAACATGTCAGCTGGCAGCTGAAAACTAAGGAGCTTTCTTATGAATGCTTGCTGGCAAACATGCTTGTTGTTATCATCCCACTAATGTTTTTATTATTCTTTTTTTTTAAATTGAATTTTACAGGAATTTGATTTTCAGAACAAAAAGTTTTTGTTGCCATTTTTACATATTTATGCCGTATTAATGCCACATTTTGCAGCTGTGGCGTTTTGCATCAAATACAATTTTGTTTATGAAAAGGTCAGAAATGGCAAAAAAAGGATAAATCTTTGTTAAGTAAGGCAACATGGGTAGTCACTCTCTAAGGCCTATTCTGAGTTAGTGTCGTGCAGCTGGTCAGACCACAGATTTCCTCCCAGCACTTCCACAGAAGCTGAGGTTGTGTTTAGTTTGGCCTTTGAGTGTTGTGAAATTGACACAAAGACGTTACTAAAGCACCCGCTCTTACACCGATTAAAGGAAGCAAAGCTTTCTTGATGAGTTGACATGTATGGTGTCATAATTTCTCATAAAGATGGCAAGGTTCCTTAAATGCATATAAGCATCTTCCAGTAGGTTTGCACTGCACTGACTGCTGTGTAAGTTTACTTCACAATCCCTCTTACTGTATTGGATTTGAGACTGCAGTTGGCAGCCAGTAGCTGACTTTGCTTTATTGGTTGGCAGCTGGTGTGTTGGCCATGTATTATCTGGCTCCTCGTCCCACCGCACAGGCCCGGTCCATCTTCTGTTCCCACAATCTCTGGGCTGTCGGGGTGCCAGCGGTGTGAGGCGAATGAGCGGGCCCACGTTTTACCATAACTTCTGACAGAGGCAGAACACTCTCAGCCCACTCGCTCTTCTTCTTTCTCTTCTCCAAATGAATATTTTGAAGGGACTTTTTATATGAACCAGTAATTTAGTGTGCCAAAACTATGATGTTATTTGGCTAGAAGATTTAAAATGGCTTAAACTGTGTGCGTGTGTGTGTGTGTTTCCCTCCAAAAAAGTCCCCTGCCTTTATTTTTTGAGGTGTGATTTCTACTCCAGTGAGACTGATTCACTCCAAGCTTTTGCTTTGAAACCGAGCCTTAGATGTAAAACTTAAACTGGGTCCTCTTTCGTTTTGATACAACATCAGTTTAGATGATAACACACTATTCTCTATGATGCATTCTTTTGTTTTGTTTTTTGCACTTGAGGAAAGAGACCTTTCTAGCTTTCATTAGTGTTTACATAATTTTCCTGCTGGGGAAAACGGGCAGCTCTGCACCTGCCCCCAAGCTGATCTTTCCCTTTTATGTTGACATTTTCACAAAAGTATAACTATATGACAAACACTGGGTGGACTTAACATTTAGAGATTTTACGGCCAGAAATTGCAGCAGTGGGACACTTCACTGATTTTATTATGTGAAAGCATTTATAAGAAGGTCTTATCTTGACATTTTAAGGAAGCTCTTAAGCCTTGGTTTAATTTTTAAGAGGTTACAGTCAAACACTATCAAAGTTAGTGCTTTACAGATTTTTTTTTATAATAAACTAAAATGATAGAATATAGTTGTTAATTTGTCACAAAATCCCCCTGAGCTCTGTGAGATAATTTTAGCACTAAAGTGCGAGTAAATTTGCCAAATTGTCACTTCTTAATGTGTGTACGAAGGGGCTGTAAACATGTGACCTACTTGCATGTGTGTGCATTTTTCCTGCCTGTGATTTTGGCCAGAGGGAGGAAACTCAGGTCAGTACAGTGAATCACTGGAATCATGTGTGACTGTCCACTTTTTGCAGATTAGCTCCATAAAAAGGCAGAGGCTCAGCTAAAAATAACCCAGATCGGCAGAATGAAAAAAAACAAAAGCAAGTAAACACATCCTTCCCTCTGGGGCTCTGTCTACTGCTGCCCTAGTCGAGGTCTTTGTTTACCTTATGTGTCATTTCTGTGGATTCATTATGATTCATTATGACTCCAAAGAAATAACGCCTCCTCTCAGTAGTGGTTGTCCAAGATATTCTTATGGAATGACTGGCAACAGAGCAGGATTTAAAATATGTCTCATGTGTCTGCTCTCTCTCTTTCCTCAGAGAAAACTAAGACAGTCTAAGCTGCCTGACCACGACAACCAGGACCCCAAGAAAGACAACGCACAGAATTCATTGTCGGGGAGAAACAAGGGAAGCAATGGTGCCAGTGCACTGAAGAGAGGGAGCAGCCGCCGTGGAGGGAAGCCCAACATCAGGCTGAAGACCCCCCAGGAACGGGGAATGACAGGGGTTGGAGTAGATGGTGTAGTCCCCCACGATCTCTCCAGCAGCCGTAACCTTAGCGAGATCCGCAGCGGCCCAGACGGGGCAGGCAAGTTACCTGCTGCTGCCATACCAGGAGAGCCAGGCAGCGTGGACGGGGCGCACCAAGCCCCCAACAGTGACTTTGTGCCTAAATGTGATATCATAGGAAAAGATGCGCTGTCTGCTCTGCACCGCGCCGCGTCACAGCAGTGCAGACAGGAGATTGCCAACATCGTGTGCCAGCATCAGGCCGGGCAGCTCATGCCAGAGTCACTCCCTCAGTTCTGCCCTCAGCTTGGTGAGAACCCGCTAAAGTTTGCATGTGTGTTTATAATCGCTTGTAGTCTACAAACTTCAACGTGAAAGGAGATGAATGTAAAAAATGAACAAAATGACACTTTTTGACATTTACTGTCATTTTTAACTCACCAGTGCATTTTCAGTCAAGACATTCTTCGTTGCCAAATTTCCTTGACAGTTATAGGATAATTTTGTTTTACAGATTTTGTTATTTTTCAGTCTAACAGTGTTGTAGCTGTTACAGTGTTCTTTGGTACATAATTAAAAATTTACTAAATTCAAATACTAAAAACAAAAAGATTTGACCCACTATGATAAACAGCAACAAATAGCTGTTTCATGTCCTTAACTCAGAAGAATTTTTCCATCTTTTGCCCATTGCTATGCTTAGTTTTAGGGTTATACATTATATCTCTGATTATATAGCCACATTTAGGGAACTTGTTTGCAACTGCAGTATAATGCAGGGGTTGCACTGGGCCAAAAGAGTCAACCCACGCGTCTGGCTCAGTTGTGCCATTACTGTAAATGCAGCTTGCAGTGTTGCTGAGTTGGACGCTTTGTCAAAAAAGAAAGTAAAAGAAAACCCTTTTAGATTTTGAATACTTCAGAGATGTAACATGGTAAAATTAAATCTCTTTCAATCCATTAATAGTGCCTGTTAAACAGCTAGCTTAGAGGTGCCCCCAAGCCTACTGAGTCAGTTATGTTTGTCTGTGCTGTTGGGACAGGTGTGTCACACCCAGTTCAGGCTGTTGGTGAGCTGGAAGACAGCCTATCTGAAGTGGAGAACCCCATCAGGGTGGCTTTCGTTCTGATGGTCCACGGCCGTGCTGTACGGCAGCTCAAACGTCTCATCAAAGCCATTTATCACCGTGACCACTATTACTACATCCATGTGGATAAGGTAATTACAGAGCTTCAACTGCCATGCTGTCTCTTTAGACAGTATTATTTTTGGTACTTAAATATTATATTAAACAGTATGTGTTTGGTGCACTCACAGATGCTTTTCCCAGTTAGATCTTCTTGCATTATGAAGGTTAAATTTATCCCACGGGTCTCACAGTGTAGTAAAGGGGATTAGCCTGGATAGAGCAAAGTGTGGTTATTCTTAGGGGCTGGATTTAGTGGAGGAAAGGTCTGCTGTCATGTGCAGCCGGAAGGCAAAAGACAAATGCACAGCTAGTACTGAGGCAGGGACCTCAGGTGTGTTGAGCAGAGACAGCAGAGAAACAGGTGCCTGTTCTCAGTGCACCTGTGTTGCCGGAAAGGTTGTGGAGACGTAGGGAGTTGCTCTGTTCTGCTGCCAAGGGACAGCAGAGCAGCTCACCGGAGGCAATGATGGATAAGACGTCAGTAGGACAATCACACCACAGACACAGTCTGAGATACTTTGCTTGCCTAACCTCATCCATCTCAGAGGCAAAAGCCTGTTTGAGAGATGAGGCTGTAAAACAGGTCAGGTTTGTCCTAGAAAATGTCTGCCAACTGCTCTGCTCCCTCTTATCCTGTCCTCTTCTTCTCCTGTTTAAAGGCGAGCACTGAGTTCAGACTACTCTTTTACCATTCGTTCTCCTATTTTCTAATTTCTGCAAAAAAACAGGATACCCTTATCATACTATACAATCTTTTTGTCCTCTTTTAAATATACAAGACAGAATCGATACCCTTTGTTCATGCTTTGCTAAACACAATTGGACTTTGTGTCCCCAAACAGTCACTTTCGAAGTGTCTGTGTCTCCCTAAACTGCCCATTTATTGCTTCACAACGTTTATTAGCTCTCCTTATTTGTGAACAAGCCCCTTGTTAATTAGGTTATAATTAATCAATTTAAGTTCCAAGTAGAAATAATAAAAAGAATTGTTGAACCTTCAGTTGTACAGCCTCTACATACTTATAGTTATAGCATATTCATAACATACTTCATACTGTGTACATATTACATACCGTAATAGACCCATTTCTGTAATATACTTACATATCTATATTATTGCTAATATATATTGTAATATATCTATATCATGGCTAAAGCACTTCTGAATTCTATTCTATTGTTGGTTTCTTGCATATTTCAGACACTTGCAGTGGTCACATGTTCACTCACTCAATTTTTAATACCGCTGCATAAAGCTTGGCAGCTCAGCAGCCTCTATTTCTTCCTTTAATCCCCGCACTGTGGTTTGTTCCAGACTATCTTTTAAGCTCAGTTCATTTATTTTTGTCTCACCTGCAGTCGCCTAAAGGAGGAACAGCCAGCAACAGAAACTAATTTTGATTCTTCCTCTATCGTCATTATGACCCTCAGCACAGAGCACCATGTGGCTGTTGTTCTTCTCAGATCAAATTCTCTTTCAACACGAGCCAGTTTTGTGTGATGGTCTTGGCACAGTGGCAGCTGCAGCTCTGTGAGAACAAAGCTAAAAGTAGATTATGCTTTTGTTTCAGAAGCAGCCTCTCCTCATTTAACTCTTTAACTGACTTTCGGTTTTAAAACTCTGACAGCGGTCTGGCTACATGCATCGGGAGGTCCTGCAGATAGCCCAGCAGTACCCAAATGTGAGAGCCACGCCATGGCGCATGGTCACCATCTGGGGAGGAGCCAGCCTTCTCAAAGCCTACCTACGCAGCATGCAGGATCTGCTCTCCATGCTGGACTGGAAGTGGGATTTTTTCATCAATCTCAGTGCCACAGACTTTCCAACTAGGTTGGTCACACATATACACAGAAATAAACTCAACAGCTAATCTTTGCTGTTAGATCATGGCAGAAAATGTTAAATATGTTTGTTGCACTTTACCTAAGGTGTACATTCACTCCCACATTTGAGCCTAAATCCATGCAGTGCAAGATTTAAAAAAAAAAAGATGCTTTGAGTTTAGATGGGTTACTGAAGAGGGGACATAGATATGTGAGGCAGGAGTTGCTCAGTGAATCTCAGGCCAAGTGAAAAAAAAGAGGATTAGACAGATTGTCAATGAACCTCTGCCACAGAGGGTCATGGGAGATCAGGATGGTCATAAACTGTATAAATTCAAGCTTTTACCTGAAGCCCTAGTTATGCCCAAAGCTGTCTTTGACTCTCTCGCCCTCTTGCTATCAGTTCAGTGTCCTGCCATCAAAAGGAGTGCTGAGACGTGTGGGTGTGTAGTGAAACATTGCAGCATGATGTTGCTTCTGCTCCTGTCAAAAGAAACTTAACAGTTGGTTACACCACTTATCTTTCATAATCCCAAACAGAAGAGGGTGTCTTGAGCTATTTTCACTCTATTTGTCACAGTGAAGTTTATTTTAGAGCTAAATAAAGCATTTTAGTGTGCACTACCTCTTTAACCTACTTTGTGTTTGTTGTATTCCCTCAAAGTTTGTATCTTGAGCCATTTTTCATTATTTTTGAATGCCTCTTTCCCTTTCGCAAAACTGCACCTATAATTACAGCGCTTTTTACAGCAACATTACAAAGAAACTTAACAGTTGGCAGATAAGAGAATCTAGTGGCAGCTTCAAATGAATTATTTTGGGCATGAATCAGTTTTGGCTGGCTTGTTTCTGGGGCAGCTTTGAACCCCTAACAAAGCAGCTGTTAGTCCACCTGAACCATCTCAAGGGGAAAGGCTTGCTTGGATACACACAGAAAGACAATGTTTTCTGTAGTGTGTCCAGAGTAGTTTATTTCAGCTAGCACAATACTCATAACACAGTCCAAAGAACCCTGTAGATGGCCCTTTTTTTGCTCTCCTGCTTCAACATAACCCTTCCTCCTTTCAATTCTCACCATAATGCCCTCCTGCAGGACCAATGATGAACTGGTGGCTTTCCTGTCGCTGCACAGAGATAAGAACTTTCTCAAGTCCCATGGGAGAGAGAATGCCCGGTGAGTTTGCTACATAAAGGCAGGGGGATGGCATTTTGACTTATAATAAATTACATTTGACACACCTGTTAATACTACAGAAAAACTGTAACTGAACAATGTTAATGAATGAAATCACAAAAAGTTGCTCTATAAATTCTGAGCAAATAGAAGTGTATTTAAATATTGCTGCAGATACAGGTGAGCTGGGGAGCAAAGAGCTCTGTCAGATCCATTATTTAATGCAGTGTTACAGTTGTTTATCATTTACTGCGATAAATGGTGCAAATACCTTCACCCGTGTCTCTTCCACCCATCATTTTCAGCTGTGTCCTGTGTTCCAGGTTTATTAAGAAGCAGGGCCTTGACCGTCTCTTCCACGAGTGTGACAACCACATGTGGCGTCTAGGCGAGCGCAACATCCCCGAAGGCCTGGAGGTCTCAGGCGGCTCCGATTGGTTTGCACTCACCCGCCGTTTTGTGGAGTACGTCATCAACTCCCAGGACGAGCTTGTGTCGGGGCTGAAGCAGTTCTATTCCTACGCTCTGCTTCCTGCTGAGGTAAGCGAGCTGTAGGCAGTCTGTTTATCTCCCGTTGTTGAGACAGTTTCATATACAAGCCTGTCTCAGGCTCGTCGCCCCCTGCCAAGTCAGAAGAGCCTAGCAGCAGAGATAATGTAATACTTTAAGCTTTCTGGCACAGCGTGCAGCAGAAGTGCAAGATGAGAGGAGGCTTCGCTATATTTTATTTGTGTAGTTTGGTCTCAGAAGAGTTGTCTGTTCACCGCTATAGAGCTGTGACCTTTTTGTAATTTAGACTGTGGTTAGAAACAGTTTGTACGTAGATTTGATGGTTTACACAAGCTTAATTTGGACACAACACTTGGCCACTCTCTGTTTTCTCACACAGTGAAGAAATAACGTACCTACTCCTACCCTTTCTTCCCAGTCTTTCTTCCACACAGTGCTCGGGAACAGTCTCATGTGTGACACCCTGGTGGACAATAACCTGCGCGTCACCAACTGGAACCGTAAGCTGGGCTGTAAATGTCAGTACAAGCACATTGTTGACTGGTGTGGCTGCTCTCCCAACGATTTTAAACCACAAGACCTCGTTCGAATCCAGGTGAGTTCAACAGAGGATGCCACTTTAAAAAAAAAAAAAAAACAGGGCTGGGTGATATAGACAGAAGCCATATACACTCAGTGGCTACTTTGTTAGTACTAGGTTATATTTAAAAACATTTTAAGTATTTCTTTCTGATGAATCTTTTCACTTGATAAAATGTTTTCCTTCAGTGATAGTGTCTTGTCTTTGAACTGATCTGCATCTGTGAGGTTCTGATTCACAGTCAGTATATTATCTTCAGTAGAAAACCACATTTTAGCCACCTAAAAGAATTGCATATGAGTAATGGTGTGTTTAGATGATTTTCTCTGCCAACAAGTAAAGCTATGTCAAACAAGGAAATGATTCTAATGACAAAAACATGAATGGAAATTGTTCCCTCAATCAATTAGTTTGTATTACTATCTGGCTCCTGGAGTTCTTTGGGGTTAGTTCTGACTGCAAGCAAGGAAAGGCACACAAAGTAGACTAATGAGCCCTGTTTCTGTAAGATGGGAAATCACTGTTTTTGTCAACAGAGTTTGTCAACAGAGTTTTGAAAAAGCACAAGGGCAGAGCTGCAGATACTTTACAGAAGAAGGGCTTTATTTAATGCTAAATCAAACTGACTTTAACTAAATTCTAATTCTTTGTCAAATATTCAAATATGTTTTTTGCCATTTTCTCTTCCTCATCCACAGCAACTGACCCGTCCAACATTCTTTGCCCGCAAGTTTGAGTCCTCGGTGAACCAGGAGGCCATAGACATCCTGGACACTCACCTGTATGGCCAGTATGCTCCAGGAACTGTTGCTATCAAGGCATATTGGGAGAGCCTGTTTGAACAGCTGGACGACGTGGGCTCTCTCAGTGACGTGGCCTTCACAGCCTACTTGTCATTCTTTCGCCTGGGCCTGAAGAGTTTGGTGACTGCTCAGAGCAACGTGGAGGCCTGCAGGTGGAGAGTCTGTTCTGCTTCGCTTTGTTATTGTCACTAACACAGCACATAAGCTATTTTCTTTGTCATGTTTAATTTATCTATTTTTTTTCTCCCAGGTTTGAACCAGTAGGCTTCCCTCTATCTGTGCATGTATACTTTTATGATGACCGTTTCCAAGGGTACCTGGTTCGCCAAGAAGTCCAGGCAGTGGGGTCAAAGGCCAGGGAGACTTTGGAGATGTGGGCAGTGCCTCAGGCTACACTCGTCCTTGAGAAGAACCTTAAAGAATTTGAAAGGCTCAAGAATCTGGAAGTAAGCACTCTTTAGGTTTTTTTTGTACAAACTTTCAAGATCAAGACAACTGCAACATGAGGAAGATTTTCTAGCTGATATCTAAAAATTAGGGTGGCTGTATCAGGTGTGAGCTGACAAAGGCTAAACTGAAGTTTAATTAGTTTAACAAAAAGTATGTTAATACTGGAAGAAATGAATATTCAATCACCTTCTTCAAACAGAAGGGAGTGGGTCTCTTTTGTAGTGTTGTTGTATTATGTGTTACGTCCCTCTGCAGCCCCTAATCATCTCAATGTTTTCAGCTGGTGCTAATTGGCCACACCTAGTCAGGTGTGGATAAAAGCATACCTTAGGCAAGCTTCCTGGGAGAGCTCACTTGCCTTTGCTTTGGTGGCACCAGCCATTTTAGCCAACCTGCTATGCATTTTAGGATTTAAAACCTCTTCTCACTAACACTCTGGTATTCATCTCCTTTTTTATGTTGCGGCTTTGAGCCGGGTCGTAACATAAGGCTTTAATCCACAAGGTTCAGTAAAGCAAGCATACTAGTGACCACCCACAAAACGGAGAGCTATGGCCACACAACAATCACATCAAGGGTTGCTCAGCACCCCTCAGTGTTGTTGCCGTCACCTGGCCAACAACACTCACAAGTGAGCCAACAAAAGTAGCCATATTCCCCACAACACTAAAGGTCACAGCACAAAAAGCACAAAACACTCACCTCACAAGGATCTCATTAGCATCCATCAACACTGACATATGCACACACAGCATACATTATGCCAACTTAAAAACGGCCTACCTGCCTCAGGCACAAGACCATAATTATTGAATGGTCTCAAACCTCCTGCCAAGTTTGCTGCCACTGATTTACTATGCGCAACTCCCAACCTAAAATGCTAAAAACAATAAAACTTTACCTGTCTAGTCTTCAGTGGTGTACCGGACTCGAGGCAACTTTAAACGCAAACTCGAGAGCAGGCAGCAGACCAGAGATATAGTCTCCTACCAAACTCTGAAGCGTACCCACACCCAGGATAACCACCAAACACAATAAACTAAAACAACAAAGCAAAACAAAAAACAAGTGCTTCGATGGAAGGGCAGCACAGCCACCCAGCTGAAACACACTTACTAAAGGGACGTAGCTCAATCACAGTGAACACCTTCACTCACCCACTT